GACACCAGAGGGATCAGCCCAGTAAGATGGCTTCCAGACTCACTCCGGTAGTTGCTACATTTCACACACATCCGCAGGTCAATAAGGAAGCTGCCCTGGCCGTTGTAGGTGACATCCTAGTTTCCCCATCTGCGTCAGTTGTACCGATGTATTTACACAGGTCACATACCACAGATCACGTGCTGAAGCCAGCCGAGCTGGCAGCTGAGCCAACGGGAAGCCATCTTCCTGAAAACCAAGCACTGCCTAAAAATATACATCAGCACATTGAGGCTATAGGACAGTGACACAGGGTGCTTATCAAGTTCTCCAGAGGCACTGGAGACCTCTCCAACAATCGAGCCCCTCCATTGCCTCAGGAAGGCCTGTGCAAACAGAATTGCCCATGTCACACCATACCATGCTCAGCTAAAGCAATTTGCAGAAAATGTTCTTTTAATCATCACCAAACACAAATCCTACTCTATCAGACAACACAGACAAATACATCCCATGGGATTCTCTAGAGGATTCTATTTTTCCACAGTAGCTACAATATAAACTAACAGATACTGTAGTCCTCTGCAGAGCAAATGGCATTTGTTAATTTAGGTGCCCAATCTGGTCAAGCCTTAATTAAACACTGATGCATCTCAGCCTGGGGTAAAGAAAATGCAAAACCTCAAAATTTACACTGAAAGCTCCTGAGAGAAGTAAGGTGAAAAACAAAAAATAAGATGACATGCATTTTAAAATAGGAGATCCAACTCCTTCCTGCTGATGTAAGCCATGACAGAGATGAAGGAAGTGTTCCTCCAACTGTTTTCCACAGGGTTCTTCTGAGAGGAACCTCAAAGGACTTCTGGTGAATGTTCTGAACCAGATCTGCAACCACACTTCCTCTCCAGCCAGCACCACTCACTTTTTATGAACTGTTAACCATTCATATGACAATTGTCAAAGGAGTGGTCAGTGACTCACTTTGGTCCTACACCAGTTTGACTTACCACTGCAAGAGGTCGTGAACCTCAGTCAAAACTAGAAAATAGACAACTGAGAGCCTCTTCCCTCCTTACTCATTCTTCTAAGCTGTGGAAAGGGCTACAGAAACACAGGACACAGCCAGACTGCACAGATATAGTGAATACAGATTCCTACAATGCTGAAAATATCTATGGCACTTTACTTGAATGCATTCAGATGTACTGAACCTGGGGCTTGGTAAGTAAAAAACTATTGGCTCTGTGTTACATACAATCTCTCATACAAAAAGTTTCACATGTGCTTTGAATACTCATTTTGATTATTCATCTTACAGCAATGCCGCTTTAAGACCACACGCATTCATGAAATACTCTGGTTACTTTTTAAGAATGAAGCCAAGAGCTTAAAGCAACATTCTCAGTGACTCCAGAGGTAATAAAACGTTACACATTCGAGCATAAAGAAAGTAAGTTTAAATAGCTAAGATTACAGAGAACAACAGAACACAGATTCATTAACAGCAATTACATCCAATGAGTTTGCTCTACCCATGCTGGTGAGGAGCTTTAGCTCAATGGACTCAGAACTTTCAAGTCCAAATCCTTTGATGGCCAGCAAAGCATTCCATGAAACCCCCAGATTACACTCACAGAGGATTCAATCCAGCATTTTCAAAAACTTGGACAAGGTCCACAAGTCCAGCAGTGAACATTTCTATAGGCCCTATGTCACATGCTGTGCTGTCCAGCCCGCTCATTCCGGTTCACTGTGACGAAGAGCTAACGCTGATGAGCAAATAACACCTCATTGACAAGGTGAAAAGATGTGAACCTCACTGCTTCAGTGCAGAGAGCTGAGCCATGTGACTGACCCAGTGCAACAAACAGGAGTGTGGATAGTTGACTTGACAATGTCTGGGAAATGAAGTTTTCTATTTCCTATCACCTTTGGTGATTAGTGAGCACACGTGCCTACAGGAAAGGATGAGTTAAAGTGTAGCAGTCTGCTGCAGAAGTACTTTCTGTGCCTACAGATGCATAGAATAAGTCAGCAGATGACTTCTAAGAAAGATAAATACTGGGGAACCACATCCACGACAGGATAAATCTCCTTATTTATATGTTGTATTTCTGAGCTAGCAGAGTAAGCCTTGCCTGGAATCTGCATTTTAAGCAAAAGCTTACTAACACAGCTTTAACGAGACCTCTCCAGATTTTGAGATATATTTGTTACAGTTCTTAAGAAATATTTTGGTGAGCATTTTGGGAAAGAAACTAATTGGCGTAGGAAGCCCGAGGCCGGCCAGAAATGCCCAAAGTTAGCTTCAAGCCAATAGTGACGATAAACAGCCCAAGGTCCAGATGTCCTTATATGGCAAGACTTCCTATAAGACTGACAGTCCTGTATGTGCATTGCGTATGGTTCTTGGATCACACTCACATTCCTCGGGTATGTTTCTCTGGGAGCTTTTGATTTCCGCTTTGAGGGCTGGCTCAGACCTCCAATTGCTCTTATAAAAAAATATCTGTGACTGAAAGTTGAAAATGTGCAAGATTCTTTCTTTAAGTACACAAACACTCCAAGTCTAGCCGCTTTCCTGTAGTCTTGCCAGGTTTTCAGTATGTCTGATACCTGATCAAGTGACTTTTTGGGGGGAAGGAGAAAAAAAAAAGAGAAGGAAAAACACGGGAGAGGAATGCAGAGTATCCACACCTGTACCTTTTACAAGGCTTCACCAAAGGGACTGCACCAACGGGAGCTGATGCAGACACACACATACCGTATATAGCTGTGTAAACACATCTGCAAGGCCGTGGAGTGAATTCCTAATTTCAGCAGAAAAAATATACTATCTTAAAGGCATGTGCTGTATAAACACCTGCACGGAAGCCAAAAGGAGTGCAGTTTAGCAGTTTTACGCATCAATGGCAAATGTCCTTCTCCATCTGGTGGCACACTGTCACACACAAAGAAGACAGGCTAACAACAAATGGGACTCTGAAGGAAGCACTTCTATTCAGGTTCTCCTGCCCTGCACACACACATGCACAGACAGGGCACATGGTGAGTCACAGCCAACAGCACAGGAACCAAATGACCAAACACCAAGCCTGGAGGGCTCCAACTCACCCCGCACCTTTGGCTGGTACACACTGTGACTCGGGGCTAATTCCCAGCTAATTCCCAGGCAGTGCAAGGCCTGCACTAGGCCTGCAGCCCAAACGCCTGTGTAAGCCTTTTTTTCTCAGGGCAGCAAGGATGGGACTTGCTGTACTTGGCCTGCAGTACGAGGACTTAGGACAGATTTATCCTTTAATTTTGGATTTCCTGGCTTTCTGGTGGTTTGTTACTTTTAAACATACTTTTTCTGTCAGTGAGATTCTTAGGTTTTGTTTAATAAAATTGATTCTCTGAAAAAGCCTCTTACATGGAAAGTTATAAAACACGTCTGGAGCCTCTCTGCCTCTGATGTTCCCCTACCATATTTAGGCATTTAAAAAAGGCATTCTGTTTACCTGGTTACATTTGCATTTTGGTATGCATGTCATACATAGTTTAGTACACATATTATTTACCCAGCGCTGGGGCCATCAGAGTCCTTCAAGCAAACAGATTTCGGGAGGCCTCATGTTTGGGAACGTATATTATTTACCATAACTGTTCCTCCACGGTTTCTTGTCTTTCAGAGCCAATCTCATTTCTTTTTATGGAGAATTTCAAGTAGAAACAATGACATCCAAATGACTTTAGCAGCCAAAGCACAGGCCTGGCAGAACAGAAGTATAGTTGTACAATACATTTCAGCCTGCTGGGGTTCTCCATGTTGTGGTTTTTTTTTCCTCATGAATATGGTGCACATAAACTTCACTACTGTAGTGTCGGTATGCAAATATAGTACAGAAGGATGGAAAGAAGCAGGATATGGCAGCGGGGTTACATACAATGATGGGATCTTTCAAGATACCCATTCAGTTTCAATTGCCTAATGAGATGCATTAGGGCAGCCTCCCTCATTAAGCACTGACATACTCCTACAGGTCAAAAGCCAAAACGCAGGCATTCCTTGTGCTAAAGCTGAGGTCAAACAGCATGACATCACCGAATATTCAAATGGCACAAGGGGAGATGGGGGAAGACTGATCCTTTGGGTTAAAAATAGAAAGAAGCAGTTATCTGTAACGATTTAGTCCAAACCACAGGTTTGGGACTCCAACACAAGCAGACCGCAGCATTTGGGTTTGCGCTGCACACAGTGGCATACTGATCCATTCCCTTGTCTGAGCAGGACAGATCCCAGGAAGACGAGGGCGAGAGGATGTGCCGGGGAATGACAGCTGCAGGAGGGCAGCTGCTCCCCCTTACAGCCGCTTCTTCCACTCTGCAGCCTCCACTCGCCGTGCCAAGTATTTCAGAGTAAATAGGCACTCTCTCTATTCATAGAGAGCATCTATTAGGGCAGGAACACGTTACAAATACTCAGTATGATTCAGTAGGACACAGCGGCAATTTATATCCTGCCGTGTAATTATACCTTTTTTGGTCGCGCAAAACGCTCGCTGTACGGCCGGCCCGCGGGCAAGCCGCGTTGGGGGCCGACACCGGCGGGCCCCCACCCGTCCCGGAGCACCGCGGCCGGGGACGAGGGGAGGGAGGGGAGTGAAGCATTCTCCGGGCCACCCCTAGCAACCGGCCCCGGCCCGCGGGCCTCCAGCACGGCCCGGGACGGCCCTGGACGCGGCTCGTGAGAGGCGAACACGGGGGGGAAAAAAAAAGAAAAAAAAAAAAAAGAAAGGGGAAAAAGAGGCGCAGGGGTGCCTCGGGCCGGGGGGGCGGGCGAAGGAATGCGGAGCCAGGGGTCAGGGCCGCTCCGAGGCGGCGGCGGCGGCCGCGCGGGGCGGGGCGGGCGGGCGGCGCGGCGCGCAGGAATGCGCGGAATGTCGCTGTTTGTCCGCGGCCCCATTCAGCCCATTGGCGAAGCCGCGCCGCCGCCGCCTATAAAGGGGCGCTCGGCCCGAAGCTCGGCAGTCACGCAGCACTCTCCCGCCGGGCTCAGAAGCAGCAAAGCGGAGCAGAGCAGCCACCGCCAGCCCAGCCCGAATCCGGACAGCGTCGCACCGCGCTGCTGAAAGAAGCCTCAGCGACAGACGCTGCACCTCGTCCCGTCTCATCGCACAGCAGCCCCAGGATGTCCCCCGCCAGCCTCGCCGTCGCCCTGCTGCTCGCCCTCCTCGGCCCGGTAAGTGCTCCTGCCGCTCGCCCCGCTCCCTCCCCGTTGGCCCGGCCCTGCGGCGCGACTGACGGCCTCTCTCCTCCGTCTCTCCGCTCAGGAGGTGCGAGGCCAGGAGTGCAGCGGGCAGTGCCAGTGCGGCGCGGGGCCCGGCCCCAGCTGCCCCGCCGGCGTCTCCCTGGTGCTCGATGGCTGCGGCTGCTGCCGCGTCTGCGCCAAGCAGCTGGGCGAGCTGTGCACCGAGCGCGACCCCTGCGACCACCACAAAGGGCTCTTCTGCGACTTCGGCTCCCCCGCCAACCGCCGCATCGGCGTCTGCACCGGTGAGTGGGGCCGCCGGGGACGCAGGCGGCGGGGAGGGGGTCCCGGCGGCCGGGACGGTGTGTGACCGCCCGCCTCCTGCCTTCCCTCGCAGCTCGGGACGGAGCGCCCTGCGTCTTCTCCGGCATGGTGTACCGGAGCGGCGAGTCCTTCCGGAGCAGCTGCAAGTACAAGTGCACCTGCCTGGACGGCGCGGTGGGCTGCGTGCCTCTCTGCAGCATGGACGTCCGCCTGCCCAGCCCCGACTGCCCCTACCCGCGGCGAGTGAAGCTCCCCGGGAAGTGCTGCGAGGAGTGGGTCTGCGACGAGGCCAAGGAGCAGACGGCTGTGGGACCCGCGCTGGCCGGTGAGTGGGCATCGCGCTTCGAGTGACAGCCTGAGGGGAAGGGACGTCTGTGTGGGAGATGATGTGTATCTGCTCCAGCAGCTGGAGCCCAGAAGTGAGTGGGGTCGTTTGTCAGGTGGCTGCCTGAACTTCTCTGGGAACGTTCAGCAGGGTATGATTTCAGATGGTCGGCTCACCCTGGTTGTCTGTGTCCCCTGCAGCCTACAGACTGGAAGACACTTACGGCCCAGACCCCACTATGATGCGTGCCAACTGCCTGGTGCAGACTACTGAGTGGAGTGCTTGCTCCAAGACCTGTGGCATGGGCATTTCGACCAGGGTCACCAACGATAATGCTTTCTGCAGACTGGAGAAGCAGAGCAGACTGTGCATGGTCAGACCTTGTGAAGCTGACCTGGAGGAGAACATCAAGGTAAAGAGTTATCTTGAATGAATGATCTTCTAGGATGGTTCTGTTTCCTGGCAGAAATTATTACTGAAAAATGTAGAGTTCTGATAGTAAGTTTTGAGTGCTTGAAATTTGAGTTTTGCTCCAGAAGTGAATAATCTACAACTAAATACTTGTAATACTTACTTGCACATTATGGCACTACATAAAGCAACTGTCTATTGAAAATACAGTTAGTAGTGCATCCGCCTGCTCTTAACGTGCAAGCTTAGTGCCATATCAAAGCATACCTTCTAAACATGTTGTATTCACTTGCATCCTAACAGAAAGGCAAAAAGTGCATTCGCACCCCAAAAATCTCCAAGCCCATCAAGTTTGAGCTGTCTGGCTGCACCAGCGTGAAGATGTACAGAGCTAAGTTCTGTGGTGTCTGCACTGATGGGCGCTGCTGCACACCCCACAGAACAGCCACCCTCCCTGTGGAGTTCAAGTGCCCCGATGGAGAGATCATGAAAAGGAAAATGATGTTCATCAAGACCTGTGCTTGCCACTACAACTGCCCTGGAGACAATGACATCTTTGAGTCTCTGTACTACAGGAAGATGTATGGAGACATGGCATAAAGCCAGGAGGAGCCGCTAACTAGATTCTCAACTTGAACTGATTTGCATCTCATTTTGTAAACATGATTCAATAGCACAAGGTATTTAAATCAGTTTGTTTTTTTTTTTTTAATTTCAACAAACTGCTCCATGTGACTTAAGACAATTTGTCTACTGACCCCAGACAGTGGTTTGAAGAAGGTAAAATGGACTGTGGAACCACAACAAGACACAGCTTCAGAACAGTGCTGTTCATGAGGTGGTGTGAAGGGGTTAAGGGAAATGCACGGGAAAGGCAGACTTACGTGAATGTTCCCTTAATGTGGTACAGTGTTTTCTTCATCTAGTAGTGCAATTGAGAAGGAGACCATAAGCATGTTTGCTGACACAGGTATAAGTGACAGCAACAGCTGGAATGCAAACCCTCACCCAGAAAAGTGCGAAGCAGAAGGTGTTCTGTTTAGTCAGGACCGTAATGTTTCAGCTCTGACACTCTGATTCACATGGCTTGGTCAGCAAGAATCAGAATCGTGTCTATTTGACTGGACAGCTTGTGGCAGTTAGGATACCTGCAACAAGCTACTTTTTATTAATATTGTAAATACTGTGTATATATATTTGTACAGTTATCTAAATTAATTTAAGTTTTGTGCCTATGTGTAATGCTTTGATATTTCAATGATAGCCTTCTTCTTTGGAACAAGATAGGTAGGATCTGAAGCTCGTCTGACAATGCATTCAAAGTATGAAATGGATACTTTAGTGGAAACTGCTCAGAGTGAAATGATGAGTGGAGTCTGAGATGGAGAGTGTTAGCCTTGAGATGCCTGTATCCATACAAAGCACTCGACTGTCTGGCAAAATGCATCTACCTCCACTTTATTGATCAAGTGGCTTTAAGAAAAACGACTCTTCTGTAGCTAATCAATCTTTCCACTTGAGCATTTGTTTCTTTCTTTGACTATGGCTCTTTTGGACAGTTTATTTGTTGAGAAGTATGACCAAAAGTTACATGTTTGCACCTTTTTAGTTGAAAATAAAGTATTTATATTTTTTATATAAATGGCTTGACATCTCATTTATTTTCACTGTTATGAATTTCTCAATGAGCTTTGTTTTGCACGAGGTAAAAAAAAAAAGTGATGTAAGTTTTCCTTCTCCAGAAACATACTCAGGAACAATCAATTATCTTATAGTCTCTTGGTCTGTAGATAATGACTCAGCTGTGCTATACTACTCTGAATTTGAACGGAGGACAGGGCCAGGTCAGTTCTGCCAAGCCAAGTATTACATTAGAATGAGCAACAGGTTCCTTAAGCATCATGTAGTGCTTTTAAAATGAGCCAGCTAATCACTGTAGTATACAACCCCACTATAATAATCCATGCAACGTGCTTAATCTTATTGTGGTGTTTCATTGGATATGACTTCATCTTTAGCCACAGATAATTCAAAAACTGACCTGAATCAAATCCAGAAATCCAAATCTGGTAGAATTCTCTGTTAGGAGTTAATGAGCTATGCCATGCAAGTTGTAGAGTAATATGGATTGGAAGGGATTTCCTAAGATATTCTGATTTAAACTTCATGCAAAGTAATGCTGACTTGTGTATGTTTCTACCCAAGTTAAGACCTTGCTATGTTTTGGTAGATAAAGTACTGAACTAAAATGCAGAATAACTGGATTATCTTCCTTCTTAATGGCTGAGGGCAAATCATTTTAGCTGCCAGTTTGTTCTGTAAAACATCTTTTGATTCAAACTCTTGCAGGCCAGCAGATTGGAAATGTTGTGAGATCTGCACATTTTGATGATGGTCCAAGCTTAAGAAAAAATTGGAAGGACAGTTGAGACTCTTTAGTTCTATGCTAGGTCCTACATTTAGTAACAGACTTTGCTCCTTTATTAAGACTAGGGGATTCTTTGAATTTAAAATTAACCTTTGCACTAGAAGCATTAGTTTTTGTTTTCAGAAAAAACACATGCTCCCCCAACAAGAATCCTTTTCAGGCAAACAAGTTCAATCTGGAATTTCCTGGTGGTGAAAGAATGTTAGCTTACAAAAATGTCCATCCTTCTTGAGAACCTTCCAAGTCCATTGATTTCAGCTAGCATTAGCAGCAAATCGGTATAACACCAGCTTTGACTAGTGATGGACAACAGGGTTCTAACTAATAGGAAGTCAACATGAGTCTTTTCCAGTGGTCTTGCCAAACTGCATACAGCCACAGAAACATTTCCCCTTCCTCTCAAAAATATGAGGAATTCTGGCATGAGGAAGTGGCCTTCTGTGTTCTGTAAGAAATAGTTTTGGGTAGCCCCTGGCTCTTACACACCCTGAGACTCCATCACTTCTTTTTTCTCCTTTTTTTTTTTTTTTTTTTTTTTTTTTTGCAGGTTATGAATGCCATGCAGCCATTCAGTTCACCCTGGAAACACTTCAAACATTCATACAACCACAAGGATTGGGTGTCCAACTGCTACTGTTTCTCCACCTCCAAATATTAAGAGTCTGGTTCCAGCAGGGACAGGACATTCACAGACTTCATTCATAGCTACCATTATAGAAGCTCTCAGTATCAGAGGAACAAAAAGAAGCACAATAGATCTGGCAGGTTGGGATTAACGCCCTTATGATGATGCTCAAGCCTATTGATTAAAAACTTAAGCTGTGTTTTTTGAAAGTGGGCAAAACTGATATTGAGCGTTATAATGAACGATCATTTCATATAACATCATCCTCTTGCATCTCATAACTAGCTCATGAGATCCATTCAGGTTTTGCTTCTAATGCAGGGGCTTTATCACAGACCACAAGCTGCATAGCACAGTGGCATCCCCTGCCACTGCCCACCAGCTGTGTCTGGCATATGAGGCTGCAGGACTGGCAAGAGGCAGGGACACTGCTTCAGGAAGGGCCACCACTTAACTCAAGGCACCCACAAAGGGGCACCCCTAAAGCAGTTTAGAACTGTGATCTCTGTTTGGTAATGCAGGTGCATCTGCTTTGCCCACCCTCTGACAAACTACCACACAGCCGTGTAGGCCAGAGGAAAAGTAGGAAGAGACCTCCTGCTAGAATATTTTAACTGTGCTTTGCTCTTATCACTGTGAATTAAAGTAAGGAAGTATGTTGTGTATACAAATGTATTAGGCAAGTTGTTACTCTCCCCTGAACATATCAAGGGCTGTACATTTCAACTACCTCTGGAACATAATGATTTCAAGTCCTTTTCCAAGCACATTATGTAGTCTCCTGCCAGAAGCATGCGTTTTACACATTTCACAGGCATGAGACTTGTGAAGGTTTTTACCTCTGAAGGTAAAGAAATTTAAATAATTTCCTTTAAGATCTCCTGGAGGTGTAGGCATGAATCACGCTGCATGTACAAATTTTGTTCAAAGATATCCTGGGAAAAAGGAGCCCTTGTGTGGAATTTATGGCATCTTTAATAATGGTTAAAATGTGGGTTTTTCAGCCATAAAAGTGTTTCCTGATTTCATTCTTCGTGCCCATGATATATGGATGCAAGAGTAAAAACTTGACTTCAAAAATCACAAGCCACTTTTACATGGGATAGAATGTTGGTTCACATTCCTTCCAGAATACCTTGTTTGGGCAGTTTGCTTTTGGATGTTTGAGTTTGCATCCTCAGAAAATTCTGTGATGTGGGTTTGCTGCTGCACTTTAAAAATACCTCATTCATATATGAAGGTATGTTCAATCAAAGGACTGTCTCCTTAAAATGAATCTCCAACAATACCAATAATACAGTACATAAAGCACCACTGTAAAGTCAATGCTTATTAAATAAGTGATACTGAATTAATCACTAAACAGGAATTCAAGGCGGCTAGAGCTCAGAGTATCAAATCATTTTTGAAATAGCTCTAAGCCATCATATTTTAGAGTTTTGTCCCATAACACATTTGCATGGATTTGCAGCTCAGCTTTCTAACACAATACAGATGTGAAAAACAGGCATGAATTATATCCCTTTCATATGAAATAAGCTTTACTGTCCAGATGGAAATTTGTCAGATTCCTCTGAGCTAAGAAACATCCAAAAGACACTAGTTAAGAAACACTTTAAGAATGATCTACTTCTAGTGATCCATAACCACTTGGGAACAAATAAGTCTTTGAACAGTATCCAACTGTTTGTCTCACAAAGTTGGAGACTCAGCTGAGAAAACCGACTTTTGGGCACATCTCTAGCAATAGCATACTCTATATCATTTGTGTTTTTTTCATGTAGCACAGATTTTTCAGACATTGCACTTGAAGAATGTACTATTACACTGAAAAGGACATTAAATGTAAGAAGGCACAGTAATATTCTTACCCAAACATGTAATAACTCAACCATTCTGACTTTGCATCCTACCACCAAAAACACTGCTTAAATGTGGCTTTAACTGATATTATACTATGCCTGCATATGGAAGTAGTTAGCAAGGAGAAGTTGGGATGAAATACCAGTATCAGGCTTTGCCCAAAACCCAAGAAGAATCTGAGAGAGGAAGTAGCTCAGTTAACTTATTTTTCCTCTCATTTTCCACTTCTTTCCTCCCTGCAGTTCCTTTGATTCATGCCCATAAATGGACATACCAAAAACCACCACATTCTCACAGTGTTTTTCAGCCTGAGTGGAACCAGGAAATGCCAGGAATTTCTTCAGAGAACCTGCTCCCTAACAGTGCTAAAACCTTCAACACATTTGGAGTTTGAATGCAGTTTAGAAACATGACTAAGGTCCCATCTCCACTGCACAACCCAGAACTGCTCCTGCGTGGAGAGACAACAGCTTGTAGTCACTGCTGCCAGCCCTGGCTGCCTCAGCTCTTCTCCATTCTCATCTGAGCCCATTCCCCCTAAGCAGCAAACCAGGTGCACTTCTGGGAAGACCCCCCAGAAACCTCAGGCTGTGTATTGTGACAGCATTCCTCAGCTACTATGCATTATTGAGGCAGTGCCAAATGCGTTCGCTTAACGGCAAGTAAATCCAAGCCTAACAGTGGCAGTGTTTATGCAGAGAGGAGCAGCCTCGCAAGCTGGACCAGCAGGTTGCTAACATAGCACTGCAGGCTAAACACAGCCCAGTGGTGCCTCCATTCATTGCCTGGACGTATTAATTGGGCCACTGAAAGAGACACACAATCCAAAATGTTTGTTGCTGTGAATTAGTCCTATTAAAAGCAGATATTTAACAGTTTTCAGCAGCTACAAAATATGTTTCCCTACTTCTGAGCTGAATGCTGAGAACAAGCTGCTCAGCTGTTTTTCAGGATTTCAGTCTAATTTAAGCTAACTGAGATAGCTGCATGTGCAGTGCTTCAGACCAACTCTTGCCCAAAGTCCCCGTGTTGGAGAGGTTCCAGGAATTGCACTGGGCTGAGTGTCTAAGAAGGATCCCTGCAGGGCATGAACTGGCACTCTGGCTTTGCTGGGCAATAAGCACCTGCAGGAGCACAAATTACACAACAAAGCCTTCTGTAAACAGCTATAAGTATAACCAACAAGACAAGTGATAAGTCACTGCTTCTAGTGAATGAATGTGATAGACTCTCATTCAAAACACATCCAAAGTTCAAGCTTTAGATAACAACACTTCTAAGAAGGTACTAAATATGATCTTAATGCACTATGATGTGTGCTATGCTGTTAATTATGCTGTATTTCTTAAATCATACAATAATAATAAGTATATATTCTTAAGAAAAAAAAAAAAATATATATATATATATATCAGATAGCCTTGAAGGGGAACATCGTGGGCTCTGTGAGTTAGAACAGAATAATAGAATCATTAAGATTGGAAAAGACCACTAAGATCATCTGGTCCAACTGTCAGCCCGTCACAACCGCACCCACTAACCAGATCCTTTGGTGCCACATCTACTCTCAGCAGGAAGAAGAAGCATGGAAAGGAATAAAAGTACTGGTTTTGCTGAGAACAGATTGATTTTCACAAATTCCAAATTTCTGTAAGGTCAGTATTACAGTTCACCAGCTTCAGTGGAAATGAATCTTGGTTTTCACTTAATAACACTAATGCAAGAG